CGTTACCATGTTTTGCTCTGCTTACAATGGCCGGCATCTGCAGCTCTACTTCGAAGGCTGCCATTGGGCCATGGGAGCCATTCGCACACATCTGTAGAGCCAGAACCAGTGACGGTCCAGCGGGGCATACGGAAGCTCAGCGCTCTTGGGACAACCCGTAGGCCTCACTGACTATCAGCCCTCCTGCAGCACTAGGCTAAGGCCTCCCTACCCGCTGCGGACTTCCGAGCTCATACCTTCGTCTGGCTTCCTCCCCTTCCGTGTCCTGCTCCTAGCACACTAGACAGTCTCAGTCTGTCTCTGCAACCACAAACCCTCATCTAGGGAACCGGACCTTAAGCACCTTTGAACCAGGCGGGCTCATCCTCCCTCTCTGGTGCTGCCTCTGCCCCATACAACTGAGAACACCCTCCTCCACCCCTCCCTCCAGGGTGCCTAACAACCAAATTGTAAGTGCAAATACCTGTGAAGTGCTCTATGAATGTGAATCACTTGTAGCAATCACTTTCCGATTTGGATTTAGTGCTAACCTTCCATGCAGGGATGCCCTGCAGCTCTCCCTGCCACATTTTCATTCAGTCATCTGGCTCCCCAGCTACAGCGTAAGCTCCATGAAGGCGAAGACTCGGGCCTGTTCGCTGCTGAAGCCTCAGCATTCGATGGTGTCTGGCACACAGGGCACGTGTAGCAACTACATGCTAAATGGTGTTGCTGAACTCAAGGATCTTACTCTATTCTCAGCCTTCCAGACATAAAGGGCCAAAAGCCATGTTAAGGACCATATTGGGTGCCCTTGGCCCAGGGAGGATAAATGACTTGCATAAGTACAAAATAGCTTAGTGGCTGAGCCACGATTTGACCCTTGATCTCTTACCTCCCGGGCCTGAAAAACGGTCCATCTAAGACTCCACCTCCAGGTCCTCCTCTTTGCCAGATGGGCAGCAGGGAACACTGCAACCCCCTTCTCCTTCAACCAAAATACTGGCATTTGGGCGCTTCAACTTCATGATATGCTATCTACTCTGTTTCCCCGAAAATAAGACTGTGTCTTATACTAATTTTTTCCTCCCAAAGTTGTGCTAGGTCTTATTTTCAGGGATGTCTTATCTTTCGATGCGCTAGGTCTTATTTTCGGAGGATATAATATATATATATATATATGGCTAATACGCAAAGTGTCCCCTTGGGAGTTCGACCAGGAGACCAGGAGTTCGATCACTTCCTATGACCTGCGCTGAACATCAGGGGGTGGTGCAGAACAAAGGCTCTGGCCAGCAGTTGGCAGTTGGGGAAGGAAGGCCCCAGCCGGCCGGCAGCCAGAAGGCTCTGATTGGTCCTGATTGCTGGCCAGGCCTAGAAACCTTATCTGTGCACGAATTTCGTGCACTGGGCCTCTAGTCCTATTATAAAAATGGCTTTTCCAAGTTTTATGTATATGGTCTTCATCTCCCCAACTGAACATGGAACTTCTCTGTGGCAAATACCTCACTGAGCTCCTGTCCACCTCATCCACAGGACCTGGCTCAGGCTGAGCACAACATAGCAGGAGGAAGGAAGCAGGCACTTGAGTCAGACAGACCTGGCTCCAACTCCGGCTTTGCACCTATCACCTGTGCAACCTTCAGCAAAGTCACCAGACTTTTCTGCACCCTGCAGAATACTGTCAGAGTGTCGATCGTCCCTGAGTCCCAGGATTCTTGTGAGGACTTGATGACATGATACATGCAACGCATGTCACCACTCAGTAAAACTCAGCAAGTACAACCTTCAGTGAATAATAATAGTAGTAACAGTGGTAGTAAAAACTGGCTCCACAAACACCACGTGGCTTAAACGGGCGAAGATCAGAGACCTGGGTTCGGAAAACCCCCCTATTTATTAATGCCTATTAAATAACTAAGATAGTATATGAGGTGTCTCCTTTTCCCTATACAAGTAAGATGTTCAGTAACCAAAGGGAGTTCTCAATATCTCTCTTCTTAGGGACAGAACTAAACCCTCCAGTTTGCTCTTGAGATCAACTCCAGTCCCTCTTCTCCTGACTCCCGACACTCTACAGAACTTCCACCTGGTGTAGGCCATGTCCCAACCAAAGGACAATGGTGAGGGGCACTCTGCATTTCATACAGGCCTCCCTCTGACCTCCTCTTTACCTGGCCCTCTTTAGTTCACTCATCCACTCATTCGGTGAGCACACATTCATCAAATGATGGACACTGTGGATCAGAAGCTAAGCCAGATGAGCCCCCTGCCATCTAAGAGCTCCCAGCCCTGAGAGTCCTCTGGCCTCTATCTCCTAATCAGAGACCACTTTTGAAAGCTCTCCTTCCTCCCAGGCAGGAGTAAGATGACTGCCTCACTATCAGCACTGACAGGAGGGGAACTGGAGTCAGACTGCCAGGGTTAGAATGTGCGGGCCCTGCCCCTTTCTTATTATGTAACCACGGGCAAATCTCTTCCCCTCTCTGCCTCACCCACCAACCCTTAAGAATGGGAACAGTAATACCTACCCATTAGACTCTTGTCAGAATGAAATGAAAACCCAATGAAGTCTTGAGAACAGTGCTTGGCAGATAGTAGTAACTATTCACTAACACTATTCTTCAACTTACAAAAATATCCACTCTGGAGTCTAGAGTGGCTGTTTGGCCATTCACACAACAAAGAGCTAAGCCAACAACTAAAGAAGTTAAATGTTCTGAAATATTGCTGTGTCACAGCTAGACTCTCCTTTTTTAGGCATGCGCCAAGCCAGCTGAAATTTCTGCCTCCAGGGAAAATGTAAAGAATCTCCAACTGGGGCTTTTATGTGGTAACTCAAGCTCAGAGAAGGCTCCAGCACAAAGAGCATCCTGAGAGCTCCCTTGGCAAGGAAGCACAGGAGGCTGCCCGGGGCAGGGTGCGACCTGCACAGAGGCTGACCCCAGACACCCCAGGAAGCAGCCCAAGGCCCAGCATCCAAGGTTCCTGCAGGTTCTGGAACCAAGGGACAGTCAAACCAGAAGGCAGGAAAGAGCAAGAGAAATCCTGACAACTGGCAACATTTGAAATGGGAAATGGTGACACTGTGGTCTTGGGTAACATGTCACTGCCAGCAAGACTCAGTCTGTGAGCCCTACCCAATTTGGTTCAGTGGATAGAGCATTGGCCTGCGGACTGAAGGGTCCCAGGTTCGATTCCGGTCGAGGGCACATGCCTGGGTCGCGGGCTCGATCCCCAGTAGAAGGCATGCAGGAGGCAGATCACTGATTCTCATTGCTGATGTTTCTGTCTCTCCCTTCCTCTCTGAAATCAATAAAAATATACTTTTTAAAAAAATAAATAAATAAAGGACTCAGTCTGTGGCCCAGAGTATGAAGGAGAGTCCAGCTCTCAGGGGAGGTAGCTAGGCAGAATTCCCCAAGCAAGTGAATTTACGTTAAGAACAGTCCTAGTAGGAAGCATAGCACTAAGCAGCTGAATCAGAATAGAAATACATTAGAGTTACCTGAGCGAACATGGCAGGTACATGGGAGGAGGTATGCAAAGGAAGAAAAGGGGGAAAGGAATGGTCAGATTTGGAGACCAGAAGTCATGGGGCTCAACCCTGGCATGCCAGAAATCACATCTACTGGCCACAAGGCTTGACTTTGAATTCCTCCAACAGTGGGAAGTGGCACTAACATGCTGCTTTTTCCACAGTAGATCTGTTGACTTAGCTGTGGGCACCTCTACAGAGCAAAAGCAGGGAAAACGATACAGCAGAGCCTGAAGGCAAACCCAAAACTAAAACACCATAAGAGGCAAGCATTTCAGGCTAAGTCAAGGACGTGAGCGTCCCTACATAAGTTTTATTCTGCATGCTCAGCACTTTAAATAAGGGTAACCAACAGAAGGTTTATCAGGAATGTGGGGTGAACCAGGGGGCACAGTTCTATTTAGGATTAAGTCTTTCCTGGAGAGGATGATTCCCGGCAGCAGATCTCTGAGTATGTTTTCTGTTATCCATAGTGTTTGCTCGCAGCCATCAAATTCAGAGGTCAAATGCCAAAGGTCTCTAGAGGGTTAGTGCCCGGACAATGACCTAGGGGCTCACAGGACTCTTTTCCCACTTCACATCTTCAAAACCGAATCCATCCCCCAACACTCAGACTTTCCTCTTTCCAAGTCTCTGAACTGGAGCCAAATTTCAGGCCCACACCCCTCCCCACTCCAAGGTGACCATATGATCTTGCCGTTCAAGGGCCAAGCCAGCCTTTGGGGCCTCGTTGCACCAAACTGCTTTAGGGCAGTGCAAAAGAAAGAGCCAGAGCACTCCCAGCACCAGGAAAAAGACTTGAGATCCCACCTCAGGGCAAAAGCAACTTCTTCCCAGACCAGGGATGGCTCCAGGGACTCCCAGGCATGGCCATAAACCTGAGGAGGCCCCTGCTGCTTCCCATGTCTGAGACTCAGCTTTTTTCATCTCTAGTGCAAGGAAGCAAAACTGGGTGACTTCCAGGGTCACCTCCAACCCAGTACTGGGACTCCTGACCCGATGCAGGAGACCAGAGAAGTCCAACTTTTGTCCAGCTCGGGGAACCAGGTCACATTCCCTGCTGGGGAGGGAGGGCCCAGACTGGAAGAGCAGGCGAGGCCACCAGGCCACAGCCCTAACCAGAGAGGTGAGAGGGAGCAACCCAGGCTTCGGAGCCTGGATCCAGCCTGGCTGGCCTCTGCCTGACTTTGTAAGCACTGCATTCCTGAGTGTGAGAAGAGACACCAGATCCCCTGGGTCAGGAGAGATGAGGTTTTTCTAGAGCTAAAATCGGGGATGATTTCCTGTATGTGCATACATGGGTGTGTGTGTGTGTGTGTGTGGGCGGGGAGGGGGGTGTGCAGGGGGGGGGGGTTCCCCTCCTTACTGGCCTGCAGGTCGGTGCTGCTTATGAGATGAAGCCCTGAGGCTAATCCCATGCGCATTCCTCCCAGGCAGTGATAGGCAGCAGGACACCCTTCTCCTCCCCCCCGCAGCCTCTCACCTGGGGGTTGTCCATGTACCAGAGAAGGTAGTTGGCCTGGGTGTCCAGAATGAAGTATCTCCGCAGAAACTTGCCACTGTTCTCATTCTCCTCGATGTCCAGAAACCCACAGATGCGGTTCTGCCGATCCACATAAGGCATTCCTGGGCTCTGCTCACATCACCCTGCACGGCAGGAGGGAGGGAGGCGCTGGTTGAGAAGGAGGGTAACGTGGGCCCTGCCTCGGGGCCTGCGGGCACCTCCCTCTGGCTGGACTCACCTCTGCGGGAAGCTGGACGGGCAATTTCTTGCATCAGCTTCTTTCCCCGGGGCACCAAATGTTTCCCCAGCCAGACCCTGGAAACCTTTTACCAATTCCATTCGTAAGCAGTCATCAAAACCCATTGACATGTATCACCTAACTTTCCTGAGGCTCTCTTACCAAGCAAGCAGAGTGTTAGGCTACTTTCCATGCATAGAGGGCACACGCCTAGACTTTGGGGTCAAAGGCTGGGGTTCCAGCTCCAGTTCTGGCCACTTATGTGTGACCACAAACTCTGTAATCTTTGTGCACCTCAGTTTCTGCATCTATAAAATGGGGATAATAACAGTACCTGTACCTCATAATTCAATTTTGGTGAAAATTAAGTGCTTGGTGCATATTAAGTTCTTCATAAACACTAGGTATGATTATTATTACTCTCCACAAAAGCCTTGGAAAGTAGGTTATAACCCAGTTTTACACGTAAGCAAACTGCCTCAGAAAGGATGTAAGCTCCAGTTCAAATGCCTGGATAAAAATTTTGCCAGGAGTTCTACCATCAACAGCAGCCCCTCCGGATCCATGAAGATACCAAAGCGTTAACCTGAGAGTTCGGGGCTAGGCCACACTCACTTCACTTCGCTGTGACCCAGGGGCCACTTGTAACTGAAAGAAGGAGAGGTCGGAAGAGAGCCCCAACCCCTGCACCCTGTCGCTGACTCCAGAAGAGGGTCTCAGGCCGGATGCCCCTCTTCTTGTGATTCCCTGCCGTCTCTCTGAAGAGCCATCGCAAAGCCCGGGAGCTCTGTTCTCCTCCCAAAGGAATGGGAACAACTTCCCACAAGCATCCAACCTGATGCACGGGGTCCCACAGGGATGAGAAAACACCATTTAGACCACATGTGTCAAACACAAGGCCCTCGGGCCAAATCCGTCCCGCCAGGCCTTGCAATGTGGCCCGCACCGCGCTGTCATCACTGCACTCCGCTGCATTTCCATCACAATGACAGTTTATGACTGTTCAGTAAACCATTCGGCCCGCGATTTAGGCTGGATTTTAGATTTTGGCCCCTTCTCTGATTGAGTTCGACACCCCTAATTTAGACGTTCAAGGACAGACACCGCTCACCCCTGGTCCTGCTTGGCTGCAACAAGCAAAACCCACTGACCCCCAAGGCCATGGTTTTTAGTCTACAACTAAGCAACATCGTAAAGAGACCCACCTAAGGCTGTGCCCTGCCCTGCAACACTGACCAGCAGGCAAGCTACCAAGACGCCACACCTACAGACTCCCAGGCCCCAAAGACACATTCCTAGGAGAGCAGAGATTCTATGGGTAGTGATGGGTAAGACAGTCTGTTCTCTCCCACCCTCACAGGGGTCTGGCAGTGTCAAAAGGCTGCCTCCGGGAAAAAAGTGCCCCCTCCCCACACACACACACAAGGATACCAATGAACAGTGAATCCCTTGATTCTAGGTCAGATCGGGCCAGAACCCCAATGGGGACAGATGACTCAGTCAGTAAGGAGATCCCGCAGCTACTTGCCGGGTAAAGGAGGGGGACAAAAGAATAAAGCTGCCAGGGAAACGGGGCCACGGACATAAGAGGAGATATAACACAGGAGGTGAGAAAGAATAAGAGGCGGAAAGAGGGGGATTAAAAAGATGGCAGCGGGGAAGGAAGAAGGGTGGGGCAATGGCGGAGTGGGGTCGAAGGGAGAAACAGCCCTGCACAAAGGAGCATCATGCCTGGCACAGGTACCTGCAGCCAGGGGCCCTGCTTCTCCGTGTCTCCCCGAGCCACACGCTTCCTCCCAGCTCCCATTCCACAGCTGAGCAAGTGTGAGCTCAGGAAAGGGAGAGCCAGGGAGACAAGCCAAGAGTTAGGAACAAACGCCATGGGAGGAACGTGAAGTCTTCTTGCAGACACGGGGTCCAAGATGGGAAAGCGAGGGGCCTAGTGGTGGCTGGGGAGGGAGCATGTCCCTGAAAGAGGATTCAGCTCCCCCCCTCCCCCCCTAGGAATAGGGAACAACAGGCGTCCCCTGCAGAAAGGCTGGGCCAGCTCCCACTGGGCATGCACAGTGTCTGGTCAGGAGGCAGAGCACATCCATCCCTCCAGAAAACTAGGCAGCCACAGACAGCGTTCCCAGGGGTTTCAGGACTTGCCACTCCAGGGGCATTCCTACGAGAAAGCATAAAAATGCAATGGGCTGAAACCGGTTTGGCTCAGTAGATAGAGCGTCGGCCTGCGAATTGAAAGGTCCCAGGTTCGATTCCAGTCAAGGGCATGTACCTTGGTTGCGGGCACATCCCCAGTGGGGGGTGTGCAAGAGGCAGCTGATCAATGTTTCTAGCTCTCTCATTGATGTTTCTAACTCTCTATCCCTCTCTCCTTCTCTGTAAAGAATTAATAAAACATATTTTTTGAAAAATGCAATGGGATAACCAAGCTGACTGTCTCTGGGCCTAACTTCAGGCACAGCACCCAACTTCATGCTGGCTTTCCAATGCTCCCTTTTCAGCCACCAGGATTAATGGGTGCCCGTCTTTTTCTCAAATCAGCGGCCAGGGGAGGCACTCTTCCCACAGTCCCCCAGGAGCCCACGGCGGTGCAGGGGGCTTCCCGCCTGCGTGGATCCTTGGAAGGGAGAAGACCGGCCTGTACCGAAGGAAAGGTAATAATGAAAGGAAGCGTTCTGGTGACAACATCTCCTGACTGTGGTTCCAGCCCCAGAAAAAAAAAAAAAGAAGAAAAAAAAAAGATGTCCCGAGAAGCCGCTGAGTCACAGAGCTCGACAAGAGCGTGGGAGGTGGGGGAAGGATCGGTGGCAGGAGAACCAGCATCCCAGGGACACGTGGTGGTAACCAGCCGGCCCACACAGAAGTGACATGCTCAAAGCCAGACACGGAACACAAACCTGAGGTCCTACCCCCAACCCTCTGCCAGCTCACTCAGACCCCATTTGTACCATCCTTGTCACCACAGCTGCTAAGATTTGGTACAGAGAGCCTGCTGCCCCCTCCCTGCCTCAGAGCTGTCACCATCATCTTCCAAGTCTCTGCTGTGGCTCTGCTTTTTCCCAGAGGGGTCCCTCCACTACAATTCACTCTGCCACCCCAGGCTCAGCCCAAACCACTAGCAGTGAAGGGAGAAAGGAGAGAGCTGGCAACTGGTACTATAGTATGCACACACACATACTGTCACCCCAAAATTCCCTGACAAGACCAAGACAGAGCTTTGACATGTTCTTCCTAACTCACAACTTTCCTCCAGTTATATAGTTTTAGCTTGTTTTCGGACTCTCTAAAATCATTTGTTACCTTTTTTAAAAAATACGTATTTTATTGAATTTTTTACAGGGAAGAAGGAAAGGGATAGAGAGCTAGAAACATCTATGAGAGAGAAACATCGACCAGCTGCCTCCTGCACACCCCACCAGGGATGTGCCCACAACCAGTGTACATGCCCTTGACCGGAATCGAATCTGACCCCTCAGTCCCCAGACTGACGTTCTATCCACTGAGCCAAACCTGTTTCGGCACTTGTTACCTTAAATTTCATTTTTAACTTCAATTCCCCGGTGTAAAAAATATTGGGTAGAGGGTGGCATTGGGTAGTGGGACCCAGGAGTTGCCTCAATCCCAGTATGTCCTGGGCCCCAAATAAGGACATTGACTTTCTCCCCATCTCCTGGGGCAATATGCAAAATGTTCTCCTTGCTGGCATAAAGCACCAGATACCCCTCTCTCAGCCTAACCCTTTCACCGTAGCTCTACCACCGCAATGAAACCACCCAGCAAGGAGCTTCTTAGCTTTCACAATACATGGAAGACAAAGAGAACAGACATCTGTGCAGGAAGGGACCTTGGTCCACCCCACTCAGCACCCTCCCTATCTTTCCAAAGCATGCCAAACCTCCCCAGTGTTTTCCATGCTTAGTGCAGAGACCACAATACAACAATGTCGTCATTTCAAAAAGATCGCTCTAGCCAGCCATTTTCACTTCTGCATGCTTTTTCATGCCACTGTCTACATAATCCGCCTTTTTAAAAATTTAAATCATATCATAAACATGTTCCATGTTGCTACCTAGTCTTTGTAATCGTTGTTTTTAGTGGTGCATATTACTGGACTGTATGTACTATAATTTACTTAACTAATTCTCTGTGATTACACAGATTACATTCAATTTTTCAGTTAGATTACAGTTAGATTACATTCAATAAATGATGATGCTGAAATTCATATTTTCATGCTTTGTTTCTTCTTTTACAATGAAACAACCTAAATTCCATACAACAATATGACTAATTCATAGCTTATGATTTTTTTACAATTCTTGAGACCATTTCCTGCTTCATCTTTCTTCATGGACTTTGTGAAATGCGAATCAAATTGCTATGTGCCCACAATCAATACCAATCAATCTCTTTCTGTCTCTGTCTCTGTCTCTCTCTCACACATGTACCCCAAACCAAACCAAAACATGGCCTCGCATAATGCAGATAACTAAATAATGTATTTTAAAGAAAAGTAAATTAGGAAAAAAGGCAAGTTTTCTATGATCCAGATTTTTTCAGTATATAAGTTCCTAGGTATGTACTGCAAATGAAAATACATTAAATATTTAATTTATAGTGACAATGAAACTTTGGAGGGAAAAAAAAGTGAATTTGCATGAAGTTGTCCATTGATCAGCAGCAGAAAATGGGTTAAATGTCCATTAAACCGAGATTCCTGGCCAACATGTGTTAGCTGAGCTGACAAAGCTCATGAAGAAAGAGTCAATGACTGCCTACCTTACAGAGACGGGGCATTGGGAAGTTTCTCTGTCCAAAATATTCCCTCAATTGCCCGTATCAGTGTCTCTGTTTCATCACTGGAGGAGATTCAAGCCAAGAATAAAATTGTCTCCTAGG